CCCCAGCCAATAAGATGCTTAGTAGTAGGTTCAGCTACCAGTAAAACAGATCGACTTCTCTCTCATGTGAAAGTAGGGAGCCCTCTGGGCCAGACTAGGAAGGGGGGTGTCCCTTGTCCTCACTTTTCCAACTAGCCTGTAGGTATTTCAGGATGGAGGAAGGGATAAAAACAGAGGGGTAAAAGCAGTGGTCTCTTGAGTAAGGGTCTCTCAGGAAGGTTTCTGGATGGACACTTCTACTGATTCTCCTTTTGCCAGGACTTAGTCACATGGCCATATTTAGCTGCAAGGGAGCTTATCATGACAATCCAACCTGTTTTGTGGGGTTTTTTTGTTTTGTTTTGTTTTTTCTTTTCCTAACCCACCATCTAAATCATGGTTCTCAACTTTCCTAATGCCATGACCCTTTAATACAGTTCCTCATGTTGTGGTGACCCTCAGCCATAAAATTATTTTCGTTGCTACTTCATAAACGTAAGTTTGATACTGTTATGAATAGTAATGTAAATATCTGATATGCAGGATGTATTTTCATTGTTACAAATTGAACATAATTAAAGCATAGTGACTAATCACAAAAACAATATGTAATTATATATGTGTTGTCCGATGGTCTTAAGCGACCCCTGTGAAAGGGTCATTCGACCCCCAAAGGGGTCGCGACCCACAGGTTGAGAACCGCTGATCTAAATGGAGACTGGGAGTGTCAGATCTTGAAATCTTGGTCCATTGAAACTGCAGTTAAGCCAAATGGCATCAAAATACTCAATAACACTGGTCCACCCCACCAGCGACGTTCTGTCATTCCTGCCATTACCTTCAGCCACCAAGTCTCACATCATGGCTGTGGCTCCTCATACAGCCAGGCAGGTGTGGGTCTTGCTTTTGATACTGAATTTTTGGACTGGACCCGGATTCTTTGTCTGCTGGAATCGAAGAATGAATCCAAGGACAGAAGTGGTATAGCAAAGGTCGAGATTTATTGAAGGACAAGTACAGGCTCCCATGTGGGGAGAGGGAAGAGTCCCACGGAATGGACTCCCAAGTAGGGAGGGGGAAAGGGTCCCACTGAGTTCCTTTCCCTATGGCTTATAAAGGCTGCAGATCCTGGTGCCTGATATCCCCTCTGATTGGTCAATATTCCCTTTCCAGTTGGTTACTGTAGTAACTCCTGGGCTCAAAGGTTGAACTTCACAGGAGACATGTGAGGTTCTCCCCCTCCATCCTCATTGTTCCCCTATTCTCTCTGGGTGTTCTTCTTTTCCATCTGAATGAAGGGCTTCCTTCTCTTTATTTTATAAATGTAGACCTTTCTTGCTACTTCCAGTTCCCTTATCTTATGTAAATGCAACTGTTGCTGCTCCCTTGTCTTATGGAGATGTAGCTGCACCTGGCTTCCTGGTGTTATAGAAATGTACCTTTTCCCTGTGTTTTTTCCATGGACCCCAATTCTAAAAAATCCCTTAGCCTGCCTATATTTACCTAAAATTCCTGCTTCACTTTTACATCCCAGACCCATTCTAAGGTGCTTCTCTTGCTGACAGATGATCTTCCCTGTGCTTGTGTTCCTGGGCTTAAAGAACAATGACTGCTGTGGGTGCTGTGGCAACGAGAGGTGTGGGAAGAGATTTGCGGTGAGTTACCAGGGGGGCAGACACCATAATTATTCCCAGGTATACTCTCCCCTCCTGCTGGACATCTCAAGAGTGGAGAGGAGTAACCAGCCCCAAGCATGACTCTGGGGACAGCTGGTGCAGGAATAAAGATGTAATTCTTCCTGTGGATGGAAAGTAACTATAATGATAAATTTAAAATGCCACTTCCGATTTCACAAACAAGCAGAGATATCAGGGCTGGAGGGCTGCAGTGGAGCCCTATAAAGAACGAGGCTGGGAAGGCAGAGGTGGGGAGTGGCCCTCTCTCCCAGCCATGAGAGGCTCTGAGACCCTAGACAAGTCATTTCCTTTTCTGGTCCACCTGTAAAAAAGGGATTAGACAAGATAACAAATGGTAACCTCCTCTCCTCTTTAGCCCCCTAAATTCCCCATGCACACCATGGCCAGTTCACTACCTCAGTGCCCAGCTCTTCCCACTTCTCCCTGCATTTTGACGCAGGACTTCTTCCTTCATGTAGCCATCCATATTTTCACAGACAGGTAGAGAGATTAGGCATCCCTGTTCCTCTCAGGGTGGGAAGAATTCTGGGATGTAAGGTCAGTCCCATTTCTACAGCTGGCCAAGTCACTGTCCTGCTCTCTGCCTCCCTTTGCTTACCTGTAATATGAGGAAGTTGGACTAGATCAGAATTTCCCAATTTAGGACAGGCTTTGCTGGTATTCAGATGTGCTATATTTTTCAATAGCATGGAAGGTTACTCCCTTTTCAATTCTCCTTCAATCCTTTGAGTCTATCATGAAAAAGAAAATCTTATTTTGATGGAAAGAAGTTCTTACTATTCCTAACCCCTCATGATCTCCCTTTCCAACAAAAGAACAAGCCCCCAGCTCCCGGGTTGCCAGCAACATTAACAAAGAATGATATTGTGTTCTGTTTGCTAAAGATCATAGTTTTTATTCAGATGAGATTATATGAATGAATGAAAGAGAGTTGACTTAAAGAAAAGTATTAGGAAATCAATACATTGATGTGGCAAAGATGAAGGTAGAACTGGAATAAAGGCAGGATAAGGAGTAAGGCCATCTCCTGCTCCCATCTCCTAAGGTTCAGTTGTCCACCTAAGAGACTTGAGAGCCCAATGATGAACTATACACACTTACCTTAACTTCTTCAAGGGAAAGCTATCATTTATGAAATAAAATCATGTCATCATTCTTTCTCACCACATTTGCTCATTTATTGATTCAAGCAATACTTATTGAACACATATGAAGGACTGAAGCTGGTGCACAGCACATAGCACACAGATTTTCATTCAAAGAAAATGTTCTCACCTTCTTAACACCATCACAAGTCCCAAGTAAGCATCATTATTAAAATTACCTTTAAATTATCAGTTATAGGAGACTTGACTTGGGGTGGTGAGCATGCAGTAAAATACTCAGATGAAGTATTATAGAATTACTAGAGGCCTGATGCACAAAATTCATGCAAGGGCCTTGGCCCTGGCCCCCAGCTGTCACCACTGGGGCCAAGGGCCTCTACTGCCTCTGCCATAGTTCCTACCCGCTGCGGCTTTGTCTGGAAGAAAGGACACCCAAAAGGACGTCCAGTCTAATTAGGATTTTACACTTTTATTATTATAGATAAACCTGAAACCTATATAATTTGATTAACCAATGTCACCCCAATCTTCTAATAAAAGAGAAACATGCAAATTGATTATACCTCCACTACACTCACAAGCCATGCCCACCAGCCAATCAGAGCGACTATATGCAAATTAACCCAACCAAGATGGCATCCAGCAGCCATGGAGTTGGAGCAAGCAGGAGGCTTGGTTGCCCTGGTGATGGAGGAAGCCAAGTTTCCCACCTGCCTTGGCTGACTGTCGGCTCTGCTCAAGGCAACAAAGTTTCAATTATAGAAGACAAATCCCAGATCCCTGCTTCCAGCCAGCCTCCACTGGGAGCTTTGCCAGCCTGCAAACAGCCATCAGCCCCTCACCCAGGCTGGCCAGGCACCCCAGCGGGCCCCCCACCCTGATCCAGGACACCCTTCAGGGCAAACCAGCTGGTCCCCACCCATGCATCAGGCCTCTATCCTATATAATAAAAGGACAATATGCAAATTGACCCTAACAGCAGAACAACTGGGAATGACTGGTCACTATGACACACACTGACCACCAGGGGGCAGATGCTTAATGCAAGAACTGCCCCCTAGTGATAAGTGAGCTCCCACATAGGGAGCTCTGCTCAGCCACAAGCTAGGCTGCCAGCTGCCAGCACAGCAGTTGTGGCGGGAGCCACTCCTGCCTCCTCAGCAGCTCTAAGGATGTCCGACTACAGCTTAGGTCTGCTCCCCGCTGCCAAATGGACATCCCCCGAGGGCTCCCAGGCTGCCAGAGGGATGTCTGACTGCCAGCTTAGGCCCAATCCCCCAGGGAGCAGGCCTAAGCGTGCAGGTGGACATCCCCCGAGGGGTCCCAGACTGTGAGAGGGCACAGGCCGGGCTAAGGGATCCCCCTGCCCAAGTGCACAAATTTTTGTGCAACAGGCCTCTAGTAAGTTCAATAAAAAATTAAAAAAATAAAATCATCATTTACAAAAAAATGTAATATAACAACAAATTATTTATTATAATTATCCTAGGGGCCCATTGCACAAAATTCGTGCTTGTGTAGGGTCCCTAGGCCTGGCCATCGATCAGGGCCAATCTGAGGGGCAACCGGTGGGGAGATTGGGCCCCCTCACCTTGGCTGGCCTGGGGCCTGCAGGCTAAGGCAGCTCCTGCATTGAGAATCTGCTCCCTGGTGGTCATTGTATGTCATAGCAACTGGTTGTGCTGCCGTTCAGTTAATTTGCATATTAGGCTTTTATTATATAAGATTATATTTTACATATATTATGGCATTTTAAGTAATTAAGGTAGGATTAAATATATAACTTATTTTCTGCTTGAAATGTAATCCTGTTCTACTTGGGAGATGTTGAAGGAATACATGGAAGATGAGAATATGAAAGAAGAGAGAGAGAGAAAGAGAGAGAGAGAGAGAGAGAGAGAGAGAGAGAGAGAGAGAGAGAGAGGAGCTATTAAGGAAATTGGTGGCAAAAAAAAACCACAAAACAAACAAACAAAAAAAAACCTCACTGCTTAGAGTCCACCAGCTCATTCTCTGGTGTTGACTATAGGTGAAGATTAGCCCAGTAAAATATGGTTTATTTATTTATGTATTTATTTATTTGGGGTTTATATGCAACCACAGCAAAAAAGTGAAATAACATTCAAGTATTGTACAAAACTTGTTTTTAATTAGATTTAAGTGCAGTCCAAGAGGAATGCTTAGAAATCACGCTTTTACAAGTCCAGTTGAGTCAATAGGATCTGAAACATTTGCTCTGCCCAATTCCAGTTGTCCATCTGAGCTCCCTAAACTCTCTCGTCCCCATACCGGGTTGGGGTCTGCCCTTGGTGTGAGTTGAGGATGACACTTTCAAATGACTGTCCAGCTGTCCACAAGGCCAATGCCCATCAAAGGAACAGCCAAGCCAGTCTGTAAACCAAGGCACCCAGCCACAGGTGCCCTGGACCAGAGACCCTCCAGGTGGCCAGAAGAAGCATTTCTTGTTTTTGTTTTGTTTGTTTGTAATAGGCTGCCAACTTTTTAAAAATAGAGTTCACTAAAGTATGTAGACACCTTACTTCTTTTTCAAAATGTATGGTACTATAGGCCCTGCATGTTGGCACAGTGGCCTACACTTGGTAAGGATGAGCCCTTCTTTAGCAGCCCCATGCCACCCCACCCCTAGGAGCCGTTGCATCATGCCTTGCTCTGGAGTCAGGTTCCCTTTTGTTCTGAGAATCTGGACAAAGCAGTAACCATTCTATAAAGACAGGTATCCACAAACATGTGTAAGGCAAAGAAAAAGAAGCTGTAGCATAATTTGATTACTGCTCTAATGCTAAAAGATTTTATTTTGGCCAAGGCTCACAGCATCCCCTCCAGGTGTTTAAGGCATGCTGTTTTATGAATCCTACTGGGTAAAACACCCAGTGGGGCATACATAGACTGACCCAGGGCTAAGGCCTAAATCCTGTCGCTGTCTCCACAGCCTTGCTCTCTATCCTTTCCTGGCCCCTCTCTCTCCTACTTTGCTATGTCTTTCTGTAGTATTCCCCAGAATTCAGCTGCATCATTCTTTCCTTTCCTTGGGGAATAAAACCAGAACTAAGAGTTGGCAGTAGATGCAGGATGTGGAGACTGCGGAACTGGAAAAAATCATGAGATCACCTATGTGATAGTTTCCAGGTGAAACTAGAAAATGGAGGTAAGCTCTCCTCTGAGGCTCAGCCAATGGAATCCCAGCTCCAGGGGTCACCCTCTCAAATAAACTGGACTAATGAGAGCTGAGGACAGAGAGTAGGGTTACTTTCAAGGTGGGCATTAAAAACTGACCTGAGTGTTTTCAGGTCACAACCTCTTCCTTCCATACCAGAGGCTCTCCTGCCCTCTAATCCTTTAAATAAATTGATCTCTCAGGATCCAGTGAAATAGCTAATTAATTCAATCAACTCATTCATGTCAAGTACGTGCTTTAATAAGAGTCTCTTGAAGCTCTAGGCCTTAAAAAGAGCATATTTAATAATGGGAATGAAGACAATTGATGAAGGAGACATATATTAGGGGCAAGCACACATTCAGCATCCTTCTTAGGTAGATGAAGGCCCACCCCCCAGCCATGGGCAGGGTCCAATGGCTAAGAGGCCTGTGTTCAGAGAGGAAGACTTGGTTTTAGGTCCTTGTTATTCATCACTTTGAATATTTCTTGCTACTCCCTTCTGACTTGTAAAGTTTCTGTTGAGAAATCAGCTGACAGTCATATGGGTGCTCTCTTGTAGGTAACTAACTGCTTTTCTCTTGCTGCTTTTAAGATTCCATCTTTGTCTTTAACCTATGGCATTTTAATTATGATGTGTCTTGGTGTGGGCCTCTTTGGGTCCCTCTTGTTTGATACTCTCTGTGCTTCCTGAACTTGTAAGTCTGTATCTTTCATCCAGTAGGGGAAACTACTATCATTATTTCTTCAAATGGGCTTTCAATATCTAGCTCTCTCTCTTCTCCTTCTGGCATGCCCATGATGTGAATGTTGGTTTACTTAAAGTTGTCCCAGAGGTTCCTTACAACTAGCTCCATATTTTTGGATCATTCTTCTCTTTTGCTCTTCTGATTGGGTGCTTTCTGCTTCCTCATATTTCAAATTGCTGACTGGATTCTTGGCATCCTCTACTCTACTGTTTCTTCCCTGTAAAATATTCTTCATTTCAGTTAGTATATCCTTCATTTCTAATTCATCTTTTTTCATGACTTTGATGTTATCACTAATTTCCTTGAAATTCTCACTAAGTACCTTGAAGATCCTTATAACCATTGTTTTGAACTCTGTATTTGTTTCCATTTAATTTTGTTCTTTTTCTAGAGATTGCCTCTGTTCTTTCATTCTGTTCTTTTCCTTTGTCTCTGCATTTTGACTTATCCTGTTTGTTTCTATGTATTAAGTAGAGCCGCTATGTCTCCTGGAATTGGTAGCATGACCTTATGTGTAGGGCTCAGTGGCTCAGCCTCCCTAATCACCTGAGCTGGGCATTCTAGGTGTGTCCTTGTGCACTGTCTTATTGTAGTTGAGCCTTGATTGCTGTTGGCATCACTGGGAAAGATATACCCCTGGGCCAGTTGGCTGTGCAGACCAGCTGTGATACCGTGGAAGAGCTACTGTGCAGGGGACACCCCTATGGAGCAGGACTGGCTTCACCATGGCTTTGGTGCTCACTGAGTCTGTCCCTTGACTGTGTTGCTTGTGGATGTGTTGAATGTAATCTGGCATCGTCTGAAGCTGTCCGTCAGACACACTGGCTCTGGGGCCCCATGGAAGGGAAAAGTCAGCCACTGCCTGGGCCCTGTCTGGGGTCACCCTTCAGGAGCTTCCGAGCAATCTGCAGATGACTGTTACTTGGGTTGGACTTGGAAATTCCCAGGAGAGGCCAAGCTGTGAAGCAAGGCAGGCTGCTGCTAATGTTGGGCCTGGGGCCTCTTATTGAGAGTTATGGGGCACATGTACCAGTTATGGGGCCAACTGCTACTTGTTTGAGAGATTTTATAAAGGTCTGAAGCTGAGGCCATTCATATGGAAAAGTAGCTACAAACAGCTTAGACAGGGCTGCAAATTGGGCAGGGCAGGGTCTTAGTGAATCACCAGGGTGGAGCAAACAGTATGAGCCAGGTTTATGTGGACTCAAATATGGTGCCTGCCAGTCAGCTCTACTATGGGGAGGTCTCAGAACAGGAACAATGACCCCTGGGAGTACCCCTGTCTGGGAGAAAGCTGCCCCCAAGTTCTTGCTTTGATGTCAGACAATTCAGTTCCACCCCATATGTTTCTGTATCCCCTCCAAGCCACTTCCCTAGCACTGGAGCTCAGAGGGAGTGGGGCTATGTAAGTTCATGCACTGGCCCTTTAAGAGGAACTGCCTGGGTTTCCAGCAGCCTCCTTGTCACTCAGCCATAAGCCCTGCTAGCTTTTGCCGCCTGAAGTTACAGGGACTTCTCTTCACAGCTTTGGAACCCTGGGTTGAGGGTTTGATGTGGGGCTGGGACTCATTGCTTCTCATGGGAGGACTCAACCCCTAGACATCCCTCCTAATTAAAAAAATACCACACATGGGTATTAAACCAGCCTGTTTCACCCCTCTGCCCCTTCTACCACTCTCGGTGTGCTTTCTTCTTTACTTCTGTAGTTGTTGGATTTCTATTCAGCCAGATTTCAGGTAATTTGGATGGTTGTTCTGTATTTTAGCTGTAATTTTGATGTGCTTGTACTAGGAGGCTGCATGTACCAGCATTTACCTACGGTACCATCTTGGTTCTCTCCTTCAACTTGATCTTTATAATTTTTCTTTTAACATAAAAAAATTTTGTATATTGAAACCCATGAAAAATTAGTTATTCCATACTGGTTTTAAGACTGGCTCTATCTCTGAGTAGTGAATTTGGCAATTTTTCAAGACTTCTAAACTTAGAATTACTTATAGCAAAATAACATAAAGTGTACCTTGCTTCATGTGTTTCCTCTGGAATCATTATGAAAAATCAGTTTGGGGTGGTTGTTTTATTCATTTTAAGGTAAGAAATTTAAACTGGGATATAAAACCAGAACATGCCACCTGTAGTTTAAAGAAGTTATAATTCAATGCCGTATTTTCTTCAGATACTTTTATAAAGAAATAAATCATTACTGATTCAATTGAGAGTCACTGTTCCTCTCCTCTATTACACTACATTCCCTCCTGAGAGTAATCATAATCATTGTTGATGTAAGTACATCCATACCTGAACAGAATATTTTTTTAAATATATATTTTATTGATTTTTTACAGAGAGGCAGCTGATGAATGTTTCTCTCTCATCGATGTTTCTAACTCTTTATCCCTCCCCCTTCCTCTCTGTAAAAAACCAATAAAATATATTTAAAAAAAACACTCCTATGCTTGGCACTGCCCCTTCATGTCACCAAAGTAATAGAAGTGATCATTTTCCACCTCTGTTTCCAAAATTATTGATGTTTCCATGCTACTCTCTTATTGCTGTTTAGAATGGACATTATATTTCTGGGCCTAATATTTTCCATCTGTAAGAGACAGTTTGCCTGAATGAGCTCCATGACATTTTTTATGCCTTTCATGCTGTATAATTTTTTGACTATACATTTAAAAAAAGAAAGCTGCTATTGCAATAAACTTTTTACAAAGTAATCTTTGTCATATAAAACAGGTAAATAAACCAGAATTATTGGGTTTGTTTAACCCAAAGAAAACTTTCAGAGGGCAGAAGGAGGGGAGTGATGTAAAATATAAAATATGCTTATTTAACATATAAAATGTCCAAATATTTTAAAGGCTGCTACCAAATGGAAGAGAGATTGGACTCAATCTTTCTAACTTCAAGGAATGTAACTATAACCAATGATAATTTTTAGACTTCTACTCTCTCTCTCATAAGCAGAACCTGCATGGTGCATAAGACTACAGAGTGACTTAGTCTCTGTGAAATTATTAAACCAGAAAACTTTTAAGATTATATTAAATTGTAATATTCTTTGATTCTATGATAGACTGGTCTTCCATATTAGCCCTGTAAAGGAAATTCTATACTTAAGATTGAAAAACTCGGTTCAAGAGTATCCTATATAATAACATCCTAGGTGGCGTCACACCTTCTCGCAATGCCCTTGCATGATGCCCTCATGTGACATCATCACAAGATGGCCACCACAAGATAGCCACCCTCATGTCATCACAAGATGGCCACTACAAGAGGGCTGCTACAAGATGGCTGGCAGGGGAGGTCAGTTGGGGGCAATCAGGTTGGCGGGCAGAAGTGGTTAGGGACAATCAGGCAGGTGAGCGGTTAGAAGCCAGCAGTCCTGGATTGTGAGAGGGACAGTCAGACATCCCCCAAGGGGTCCCAGATTGGAGAGGGTTCAGGCCAGGCTGAGGGACACCCCTCCAGCACATGAATTGTGTGCACCATGCCTCTAGTCCTATATAATAATCCTATATAATAAACGGCTAATATGAAAATAGACCAAAAAAAGAACAACCAAACAATCAGTTGCTATGACATGTGCTGACCACCAGGAGGTGCACACAGAACATGGCAGACATCAGAAGCAGGCAGCAGAGTGCGGAACATGGCAGGTGTTGGCCATGGCAAGATGGTGGAGCAGGTGAGCGGAGGCACCAGACCAAGGCAGGACACCAGTCGCTGTCATCAGGGCAAGCCTCTGGTGGTTACTGAAAATTCTTTGCTCCTGTGCACTGTGGTCCCGCCCGGTGCTCACACCTGCTGCTGGCCCTGTTCTCACCTGCTGCCAGTGCTCAGCACCAGCCCTGATCACCACTCAGGGCTTCTCCCTGCTCCTGAGGGGCAATCAGGGCTGGCAGCTGCCTCTCGTACCCACTCCCAGTCACACGTGTTGCCGCCGGCACCAGCCCCACTTGCACCTGCAGCCTGTGCCAGCTGCCACTCACACCCACTACTGGTGCCCAGTGCCAGTCCTGATCGCTCAGCGCTGTCAGTGGGTGTGAGTAGTGAGTGGCTGCTGGCCCGATCATCCCTGAAGGCTTCTCCACCTCCCCCTGCTCCTGAGGGATGATTGGGGCAGCAGTGGAATGACTGGTCACTATGACACGCACTGACCACCAGGGGGCAGATGCTCTATGCAGGAGCTTCCCCCAGCCTGCAGGCCCCAGGCCAGCCAAGGCAGGTGACAGTGGGGGCCTCCCCGATCTCCCTGCCAGTCTCCACACATATTGACCCTGATCGTTGGGCAGGCCTAGGGATCCTATCCATGCATGAATTTCATAATTATAACTTCAATCATCGGTGAATAGGTGAAAAATATATGGGCATGAGACAAAGAAGGGGACATGAGACACCTAAATCATTCTAGTAGACCTGAGAGGCCCCATCTCCTGGAAAGACGGCTTTTACCTGTAATGTTCCTGTAGCTACCATGCTCAACAACAGGCTGGTTAGATGTGTTGAGAGCAACCTCTGGACCAACTTAAGAACCTGACTGTCTTATTATCTTTCAGATGTTCACCTCCACAATATTTGCTGTGATCGGATTCTTGGGGGCTGGATACTCATTCGTCATCTCAGCTATCTCCATCAACAAGGGTTCTAAATGTCTCATGGACAATAGCACATGGGGCTACCCCTTCCATGACGGGTAAAGTACACTCTGCAAGGGGCACAGTCAGATAAATGGCCAAAGGGGAGATGCTGCACATGCATGTCCTGTCATCTTAATTTGCAAGTCTCAGGCATGCTGCTCTGTGAGGCATAGCTGGAGTGTGTACTGGAGTAAAGCTGCCAAGATCTCAGCTCTAACTGCTGCTTTGACAGACACCAAGAGAAATAATGAAAGGGGGCACCTCAGCTGGCCTGAGGGAAGGAGATTTGTGATGTCTCTGCTGACATTCAAAGTTTATTAGCAGACACATGAGACAACTAATAATATTAATAAACAGGGAGAACTGGCTTCCATTAAAAATATAACAATGGAAAACAAGAACAATTATTCACTAACAGGCTCAAAGGCTTTCACTAATATCCCAAATGGTCTATAACTAAACAGATTTTTAAGGTGCAAATTTACAGCTAATGACATTGGAAACATTGTAGATTCTTCATGAGAATTAATGTCAACAGAAATCTTTAAAATAGCATTTCATATTTTCATTGTTCTTTGTAAAAAGCTTCCTTTTTGTGATAGCCAGTTTTGCTCAGCAGTTAGAGTGTTGGTCTGTAGATGAATGGTCTCAGGTTTGATTCCGGTCAAGGGCATGTACATATATCAGTGCAAGCTCAATCCTGGGGCATATGTGGGAAGCAACTAATTGATGTGTCTCTCTCAGATTGATGTTTCTCTCTCTCTGTCTCTTCCCCTCCCTTCCATTCTCTCTAAAAATCAATGGAAAAAAATATCTTCTGGTGAGGATTGACAACAAGAAAAAAATATACTTTTCTTCTTGCCCCGGCAAGAAGTTAGAGCATTGAAGTGTCTTGGGTTCAATTGCAAGTCAGGTCACATACCTGGGTTGCAGGTTCCATCCCCCACCCGATTGGGATTTATGGGGGAGATAACCAATTGATGTGTCTCTCTCACACCAATGTTTCTCTCTCTCTACCCCTCCTTCCTTCCTTCCACTCTCTCTAAAAAAATAAATGGGGAAAAAATATCCTCAAGTGAGGATTAACAAAAAACCCACAACATTTTTTTTCTTGTTTGTTTTTAACAAATTTATAATTTAATATCCATAACAACCCCAAAGGGTAATTTACTACCTGCCAAGGTAGGCTTAAGAAATTTGACTAGCTCTAACTAAGTCAGACCACCATCTGGGGGCAAAGGCACAGCTCAAATTCACATTTTCTGACTTTCAAGCTTAGTCTCCTTATATTACACACTAGAGGCCTGGTGCATGGATTCGTGCACTGGTGGAGTCCCTCAGCCTGGCCTGTGCCCTCTTGTAATCTGGGACCCCTTGGGGGAAGTGAAGCAGCAGTTCCCAGCCTACCCCTACTTCCTAACTGTGCAAAATTCCATTGTTAGAAATGTTGCTAAGTGTTCTTTATAGATTATACTAGTATTTGTTTTTAATGTTAAGAATAAAGATATCCTGTTTTCACTTAAACCTCTTGAACTATTATAAAACAATGCATGTTCACTAATATAGAAGTTGAGAGTTCAGGCCAGAACTCTTAGCTACTTGATTTTATTTATTTTCCTTCCCCAACGATTTGCTAGATGATTGCACTGTTCTCTGCTCTCTATGGCATTCCCAGGCCCAGTAGTGAAGCGGCAGGTGGCCAGGAAGGAGCCCAAGTCTGGGCCGGGTGCCACACCACACCCGCTCATCCCAGCCCTGCTGCACCTGCCACCACCGCTGCTTGGTAGCGCTGCTGTGGAGGAGGAAGAGGCTTGCACCGCTGCAGCTGCACTTGCCAGCTGTGAGCCCAGCATCTGGTGTCCATCTGTCAGCTGAGCGGTGCTCCCACTGTGGGAGCACACTGACCACCAGGGGGCAGCTCCTGTGTTGAGCAACTGCCCCCCTGGTGGTCAGTGCGCATCCTAGTGACTGGTCAACCAGTCATTTGGTCGTTCAGTTGCTTAGGCTTTAATATATATAGATTTTTCTGCCTCTACATCCAATACGGTAGCCAGTAGCCACATGTAGCTATTTAAATTTAAATTCATGTAAATGAAATAGAGTTAAAAACTCCTCAGTCACATTAGTCATCTTTCAAGCACTCAGTGGCCACACATGGCTAGTAGTGACTGTACTGAATATCACAGACGCAAGGCAGCTCCACCGTCACAGCCAGCCTACCACACAGTGCTCATGGACTCGAACCTCCATGAGGGCTGAGACCATTTCTGCTCTGTTCACTGCTGCAGCCCCTCCACCCAGCACAGTGACTGATGCACCCGGAGGGTCAGGAAAGATGGGTGTTAGGTCCTCCTGCACATGGAGGATGGGTTCATTACTAGAAAACCTATAGGGCACTGGTTTATGAACTCAAATCTCTTTATTAATTTACAGTGAAAAGTTAAGAACCCAGAGCAGGCTTCAGGGAGGGGAGGTGGCAGTACTGGTTATGACCTGAGATCCAGTGTGTTCACAAGTTTCACAAAATATATCCCCACCCTTCTCTATAGCTGAACAGGAATACATGGCCTCTAATATCCTCATACCACAGGCAGGGATTCCCAAATTTACTGTGAAAAGCCCTCTCATCTCAAAAGAGGACTGCTGGGGCTCCCCTGCCATGGGAGGGCTTGTATATTTGTTTAACTATGGAGTAAGTACAGGTGACAGCATCAGCACAGCTGATATGGTTTTCTATTTACCTGTTATGTGAATGATACTATCCTGGATGAACTTAAGACCAGTTAGAGTAAATCTATGTACAAAACAAAGGGGAAGAAAGGAAACACAACAGATGCCAAGTCACACTCCCAGGCAGTGGTCTCACATGTCTGACATCAAGAGCTAAGCACCTCCTTGTGGTGCCATGGGATGGGTGGCCCCGCTAAGGAGTGACAGATTGTGGGCCAGCAAAGGAAATGCCAACTTGAGGAAAGGACAGGAAACCAGTTTTCAAAGTACTCAGTGTTTGTCCTCTGGCAAAGCCAGTTTTCATTCACATCACACTATGATATATTGTACGTTATTCTGTGATAGACACTGTCGTATATATTATTTTATCTACTCCTCACAACAACTAATAGGTACATCAATAGGTCTCAGATGAGAGAGATCTTATATAATAAAAGAGTAATGTGCAAATTGACCCTAATGGAGGAACAACTGGTCGCTATGACATGCACTGACCACCTGGGGGCTGATGCTCAATGCAGGAGCTACCCCTGGTGGTCAGTGCGCTCCCACAGGGGAAGCTCCACTCAGCCACAAGCAGGGCTGATGGCTACAAATGCAGCAGCAGTGGCAGGAGCCTCTCCCGCCTCCTCGTCAGCGCTAAGGATGTCTGACTGAAGACTCCCAGGCTGCCAGAGGGATGTCTGTCTTCCAGCTTAGGCCCAATCCCCCAGGGAGCGGGCCTAAGCTGGCAAGTAGAAATTCCCCGAGGGGTCCTGGACAGCAAGAGGGCACAGGCTGGGCAGAGGGACCTCCCTGAGTGCATGAACTTTCATGCACCAGGCCTCTAGTGTAATAATAAAAACAAAGTGGGATCAATCTTGCAGCAAGCAAGAACATTTCAGAATTCTCTACCACCTCTGCCCACTGTATGGCTCTGATTAGGCTCTAAAAGGAGAAAGGTTTACATACCTAAACATCTACACAGTGGCAAACTAGCAAATAATCAAAAGTTGCTCTATAGGGTTGTGTTATAGAACCATACCTACTATACTTTCCAGGTGACTTATAGGTAAGAGTGCTTGTGACTGTTCATGGTTTTTCCCTCATGGATGACTTTATAATTTAATCCCACATACAATGAAAGTCCACTCTCTGCAAGGAGTGGAATGTTGCCCAACTGGAAGGCTTTTAATAGGGTGGACCCAGGCAGAGTGCATCACTGCATCCCCTGCCGTCTACATCCTTCCCTCAGCGGTGCACTCTCCCTCATCCTGTAGCCCACCTTCTGAGACAGAAACTCACATTCTTTGTTGACCTATCTCCCACTACCAGCTCCAAACCTTCCCTGGGACTGTAGAGGCCCGTCTTGAGTTTCCTGCAACAATAAGTGAACCTTTGGTGCTTAGTGTTTTTCAGTTAACAAAGTACTTTCACCCACAGTGTCTCATTCGATCCCGCCCCCCAAAACCTTCAGAGGATATAGCTGAGGCCCAGAGAGTTGACAAGTGACTTAGACAAGTGACTTACCTGAAAGAATTCTATTTCTTCATGACTGAAGTTTGAATCTAAGTTTCTGACTCCAAGTCCCAGTGCTTTATCTTGAGCACAATTCATACTGATTGGCACTATTGCTTTTTGTATAAAATCCACCAGCAGAGTTCAGGGGCCTCTTGTCTCCAGTCTTTTTTACTGGGCCAAGGACTCTTCTTATCCATCAGATCCCAATGTGTAAGCATCATAGCAGCTGTCGTCATAGCTGCAATCCTAACACATACACATCTGCTTAGGGAGTGAGAAAGAGTAATCACTGTATGAGCTCAAACAAAAGCACTCAACACAGTTGCCAGCCAGTGCCAGTAGCTGCTTGTCCCTCCTCTTCCTTTCCTTCCTCCTCCTGTTAAGGACTAAGGGCCAAGTATTTTACACACATTATCTCAATTAAACTTCTAATAAATATGAGAAGAATTCTTATCCCTGAAGTAAAAAAAATGAAGTTCAAAAGGTTAATTTGCTGAATTAATTCTCTTTAGTATTTAGTAGAAAGAGAATTAATAAACCAACAAACAAAATAAAAACACTTGGCAATACCCTACTTTGTGCTGATGCTTGTCCCAGCATGCAGCAAAGGGGGACAGACACGGTCCCTGCTCTGATGATCACATGGTTACTTAGGATGACAACACAGACCACACCCTCACAATACAAAAAGGAATGATATTGAGGAGTGCAAGAAAGCTTCCTCAAGGCAGTGACTTAGGCTGCTTTCAGAAGATGAGAAGTTTGCCTTGCAGGAGGGAAAGGAAACAAGTTTCAGACAGAGAGAAAAACAGCCCTGAGGCAACTGGGAAAGGCCTGATATGCTCAGAGAATGGCCAGAAGCTCGGGGCAAATATGGGGGAGAGGGAGAGAAGGGCACCACACAAGTGGTTGACTGAGAGGCAGGCTGGACCTGCAGGACATTAGCGGGCAGCAGAGACAGGCCATGCCCACTTGGGAGCTTCAGGACGATCATGATGGCAGCAGCATGGAGGATGACAGGAGGGCTCAGTAACTGAAGATTGGCATAACCATCCACATAAGACCATAAGCACCTGCCAGACAGTAGGATTGGGTCTGAAAGAAGGAGGCAAGTTTCAGAGACTCTGAGATGGAATCATCAGGATTAGGTGTGAGGAGGAAGAGACCAAGCTGTACTTAGATTTCCAGCTTGGGCCACAAAATCTTCAGTGATGTAGAATTTCCCACTGTTTTCCTCAGAAACGTTTGTTGGTAATCATGTTAAAGGAGCAAAGACAGTTAACTTTTTCTGTCATGAGAACCATACTAAAGAAGCATCCCAAAGAAGGGAAAGAAAACTGGGACACTTTGATATATGCCCTCTTGGCCTCCTTTGAAGTAAGATCTCCTCCCATCCAAAGTCTTCCTTTCTGAGACAATTTGCCACCTCTTCCTTGACCCTGAGCTGCTTGCACAGGGCATGGGGACAGCTGTGGGAGGGAAAATCAGAGGAAAGGCTGAGGACATTCAGCAGTGGGGGAGGGAAAAGGAACATAGGCAAGCACAGCACTCCTTGCCCAGACTGCAACCCTCCCACCAAGATACAGAACTGAATTCAATCAAATGATTTACCTGGATTTTCAGTTAAGACTGTCTGCATTTGCATTTCAAAGATTACTTATTAGCAAGGAAGCCCATAAACTACTTGTGAACACATTCCCTAGAGCTGAGAGCTACATCACATCAGTAGGGTGAGATGGGATAGCATGGCCTGTTCCCAGTTCTCAGGAAGCAAGAAACACACTGATGTTAAGAACTGGCTTTGCTCTTGTCCTGACCAGACTTAGGGTCCAGTCATCCCTCAGCACATAACAATGATGTGATCTTGGGTGATAAATTCATGTCTCAGTTCTTTCTCTGTGAAAAGGGATAATAGGAAGCTCTACTTCACAGGTTCAGGCAAGAATAAAATAACAGAATGTACATAAAGCACTTGGCACAACTACTGCCACATAGTGCTTGCTATACTTTCAGCCTTATTATTCACTAGAGGCCCGGTGCACAAAATTCTTGCATGGTGGAGGGGGTGTCCCTAAGCTCAGCCTGCACCCTCTCCAATCTGGGACCCCTCAGAGGATGTCCCAAGGATTGGGCCTAAACTGGCAGTCGGACATCCCTCTCACAATATGGGACTGCTGGCTCCTAACCACTCACCTGCCTGCCTGCCTGATTGCCCCTAACCACTCTGCATTCCAGCCTGATAAACCCCACCGCTCCCCTGCCGGCCTGATTGACACCTAACTGCTACCCTGCCAGCATGATCATCCCCAACTGCCCTCCCCTGCCTTCTTCTGTGGAGCTGAGGGGACTGGGGGACTCCAGCTAGATGAGGTGGGACTGAGGGGACTAGGGGACTCTGGCTGTATGAGGCACGCAGTGCCTGCCACCCCCCAGAGGGGCTGAGGGAACTGAGCACCTCCATCTTGTGGCTATGGGCACCGCCATCTTGTGAGGGCATGATGGTCAATTAGCACATTCCCTCTTTATTGATTGTGGGTGCCACCATCTTTGTGAGGATGTGACCATCAATTAGCATATTCCCTCTTTATTAGATAGGATTTTTATGCATATAACTCACTGCTACAAGGGGGATTTATTATTATGCATTACAACTTTCTAAAATGTATGTTTTTATAATTTTTTAATTTGAATCTTTTAAAGCAGTCAAACAAAGATTCGAAGAGAATAATCCCTTTATCATGGTATACATAAACCCTGATTGGCACACTATTATGGAGGTATTTATATATTTTATCAATCATATTTCAAATAGCCCAAGGAGATATACTTTCTTAAACAGAGAGATTTGTGTAATGGTTAAGAGCATTGGCTTTGAAGTCAGACAGACCTCAGATCAAATCCAGGTACTTACATTTCTAGCCTCAACTTTTTAATCTGTGGGTGGGTGTATGTCCATTCATTCAGTGACTATTTCCTAAAGGTGACTCTATGGCAGGTCTTGTTCAAGGAGAGCAGCATGTCTTGTTAGGGATGGGAAGGTGATGTAAAGCAGCTGGCCCAGGGCCCAGAACACAGGCAGGGCACAGTAGGTGCAAGCTGCTATCACTTATGGAAACTCCCTGTGCTGGAACTGGGATAGACACAGGGGACATGGTCGCTGTCCTTGTGAGTGTACAATCCGAATAGAAGACAGACAAATCGCCAGACTACAACACAGAATTCTGGGAAGCACAGAAGGGGACCAAAGCCAAGCAGAGTGGCCAGCAAAGCAGTGGGGCTCCCCTGCCCTTCTTTCAGCTGCAAGAAGTGAGTTGCATGAACTCCGTAATGCTCCATTCCGATGTTGATGGATTACTGCTGCTCCATGGGAATGCCCTTCCCAAGAGCAGGATACTGTAAAACTCCAGCTCAGTAAACTAGCTGTACACTGCCTCAGCTCCCCTTGCTTCACAGCGTGTGGAAACATGATTAGCCCCCAGGTCCAAGGAATATGAGGTTAGAGATTTGGGCACAGCAATCATTGCCGGCATCTCTGAGAGTCTCAGAACCTGGGAGTTTGGGGGATGGGAGAAGGGCCTGGACCTGCATCTGTGGTGGTTTGTGAGTGGGACTGAGAGGACTGCTCTAGGCACCAAACTCAATCCTTGTTTCCAAGTTCCCCAGTGAGCTGATCTCACCACCAGGA